TGCGCGTTATTGCACTGCACGAGCCACTTTGTGTCGTGGGTATATATACAGCACAGAATGGATATTTGCGTTATTTTTTTAGGTTTTTTAATTTTAAAAATGTGTACGAATATTGCTGTGATTGTAACGGTTAGCAACACTAGACCCTGCAACCAGAGGTCATCGGTTCAATTTCATCTCCCGGCCACCGCAGTTGAAACAACGGGGAATGTTTTCAAATTCACCTCCCGACCCCCACCCGGCCACCTCTTCATTGGTCGGTGTGGAAGAGTAGGCCAAGTACCCTGCAGAGGCGCTCTCTTCGAGCTCCCTCTAGTGGAGGCCCTTGTACCAGCAGTGGTGTGAGCAGGCAATTGCAGCGCTGCACCTTTCCCCCCTTTTCTTTTTAAACATTTTAAATGACAATTATTATTATTTTAACTGCATAACCCTCGAGTGCTTTCTGTGCGTCGTCGTACCCGCCCCCCCGCCCCCGCACCTCCGATTCGCACGGTTGGTCCACGTACAGGTGCGAAAGAAGTTCTACACACATGCGTACGTACGTACAAGCAAAAAAGTGTTTCTTCTTCTTCCTCTTCGTGAAGGACGAAGGTGTCGCTTCTCGAGTGCACAGTGGGCTGCTTGATTTATGCTTTGGAGGAATGTTTCCGGAGACGATTGCGCTGACCTCGCCGATCGGCCGGGATGTTGTTTTACTTCGCCCCCCCCCGTCGCCACAGGACGCACAGCTGAGGATTCAGCATCCGGCCACGTCCGTGGTTAACGTTGTGCGGTGTGGCCCCCGCTGCCGGTAACATCGCAGCGCAGTCCCTGGCGCATGCAGTGTCGCGCGTGGCCCGATTCACAACGCACCGCTTGATTGGGGGGGGGGGAGGGAGTGGAGGGGGGTCGCCTTGGAATAATTGGGTACGTTGATCGGGGTGCTATGCGATGCTCGGCCGTCGTCATCACGAAGCGCCCCATCGACTCGCACGAACAGAAAGCGCCACGCTCGCCGTCTTTGCTCTTAGTTCTTTGCCCGGTCTTTATTTAATAATGCAAGTTATTGCCCCGTGGCAGGCTGGATGTTTCCGAGTACCGTATGCCATATTATAACAAACGCTGGTAAGTTATCGCTATAATATTTATAATATTTATCTGGCTGAAGTGGAGGGAGGGAGAGGACCTCGGCTGTCGGTCGTGCTTCAGTTCGAGTGCCTTGATTCGTGTTTTTTAATGTTTACGCCGCACTGAATGCACAGCACCGCCTCGGCGCCAGGCACGTGTCGACGAACTTGTGTCGGGGGAGAACGCGTGGGTCAGTGTCTCCTGAGGACAACCCAGAACATGCAGTGCTGTTGCTCGTCCATGTGCCGCGTAGCGACTCCAACACGTACGTTGGTTGTAGGGAAAGGCGCGAGGAGATGTCATTGTCTTCTGCAGCGTGCGTTCACGTCACCTTCCACCAGCAAAAGTGCCCCGAGCCTTCCCCTTTTCGCGTTGCACCGGGCGTGCCGTTCGCCGCGATGTTTCTCACCTTCCGGTCCGCAGTCCTCGGAGCCTCTTCGCATCATGCGGCCGTTGTGAAGGAGCTCCCGAGCTCGCGGAGCGAAACGTCGAACGTCGCGCCGACTGTGCGGAGCGAGAGAGAGAAGGAAAAGAGAGGTTGACTCTCGGTTGGAATTTTCACTTTGCGCTGAGGTCGTCTTTAAAGCGTTTGGAACTGAACAGTTTTTTAATTGATATACGAACGTTTTTTTACGCGAACAAGATTTTAAGTGAAAAAAAAACCTCCAACGTGGAAACACCAAACCGATCGTCATCGCAAGCCATGGTCAGTCCACTGCTCGTTGAAGGTCTCCCCACTGCTTGGAGAAGGTCTGCCGAAGCCGCTTCCGTTTCTCACGACTCTGTGCTGCAATAACACCAGCTGGCGTAGGTATGAAACATTAATTTGAGGCTTCTAAAAACTTTGTCACGGTTGAAGGGGAAGCCGACCGGGCCGAATTCTCGGCGAGCGCCCCCACATGTTACTCACGGCCTCGTCCTGCATACCAACGCACCCGTGCACAGAGCTCGGCTTGTACCGGGCGTGAACTTTGATGGAGGGCAATGAGCAGAGAACGTGAGCTCAGTTCAGTCTCACAAGCTGGGGGGGGATGGTACCAGTTGGAGCTTGTTCAGCTCTCTGCACCGTTTTGTATCACGGTATTTAATTTGCTGCGTGGCGCAAATTTCACCATCTTAAAAGTGCGCTCGCGCGTTGCCGTGGCGAAACGGTCGACACGCCGGGTGTGCGAATCTGTCGATCTCGAGGTCGCCAGTTGGACCCGTTCTCCCGGCGCTTCAGTTGAAGCACTGGGCAAGTGTCTTGAATACCACCCCCCCCCCCCCATAGCCCCCCATCTCACTATCCGCTCAGCGGTATATTCACTCTGTCGAGTGGCCTGACCGTGGGTGCGGCACAGTTGGGCGATCGGTCGGTCGTGTGCGGCAGGGTCAGGTGGAGGTAATCCCGCCTCTACCAAGACGTGCGAGCGGTGTGGAAGAGTAGGCCAAGTGTGACCCTCTTAGAGGGCCTCTCCTAGAGCTCACTCTGGCATTAGCAGTGGTGTGAACAGAGCACTTGCTCGGCTGGACCAGTTACTTTGAATGGACCGCGTACATTCACCGGTTGTATTCGCTACGTAACGATCGTGCCGGTTCACCAGAAACGCCTTGCTGATCCACAAGACGGCTTTCGGGAGGGATTTCGCGGCTCCGGTTTGGATAATGATTGGGCACCCAGAGGAAAAGCCATGCTCTCGTGAAATCGTAATGCTCAGAGCCCCACGCACATGGTCAGTCCACAGACTCGATTCATTGAATCGACCGAATCTATCGTGTGGACTGCATGCATCGCTGTTCTACCATCTACTGGCATCTCGCAGTCCTTGCTGCCCTTCGCCGCAAACACTTGGTCGATAACGAACAAGCGTTGCAGCATTGTGCACTCGGTTCTTTTTACTGTGGCGCTGTCTGAGGATCATTTCTGTAGGCAGTGCAGGGCATGCGTTGAAGTTAATGAATCGTGAAGCTCGCATCATGTGGACACAGCGCCCCTTGCGGTTTGTTACAACAAACCGTAGATGCAAAGCAAAAGTAAGACTGCAGGGTGGACCCATAAGTCTGGAATCGTAGGGAAAAATAACGAATTCGTATTTTTGTTTGTTTCTCCAGGCCCAAGATATCTCTTGGTAAGGATGAACGAGTCCAGATAATTCTACTCGTAGGAAATCGGAGGGAGGTCGCTGTTCAATTTAACGGTCTGCATCCAGACGGCGAGCCAATAACACAGAGCTGTGTTTTTCCGTCGATTCCAGACTCGTGGGACACCCCGTCTAATAGCGCGTTCGAAAACATGGCGCGAGGTGGCATTGGCCTCGCGCCTACAGCGATAGCACAGCAGCCCCAGCGCTGCGTTACACCTCCAAGCTCTCCGCGTTCTAAATTCCGGCAGAGCCCTCCCCTGGGTCGACTCGGCCTTAAACGGAGTGGTGCGGAAACTCGCTGCCGGGGTGGTGCTGGCCAGAGCGCGCCCCCCTGCCCATCCCCGAGTCCCATGCCACCCGTTAAGAGTTTACGATTTGCTCGCTCACCGCGCGGGACCCCGAGGGGGTTTGTAGGGCACGTATTCGCGCGGCGTTCATTCCGTTTTTCCGTAAACGATGCTATGAACCCGGCTGCACTTTCCCTGATTCTTGACCATGCGCCAATCGATGGAGGGTTCCGAATCGAAATCTGGCATGGTTTTCCCCTAGGTCAGCTGAGCCTAAAATGAGCAGGTGGTGGAGTGCGTGTCAGCATATGTGTAGAAGGGAGACGCACGGTGGCTGGGTATGATAATTGCCCCACGATTGGCCACGTTTTTCCGTCTTGGGTGCTCGCCCAAATGGTCGTTTGAGGCTAAAAACGCCGACCGTTGCATTTGTCGACGCGTCTGTTGGTACGCGTGTTACTGCATGCACGCAGAGGGCCAAGCTATTGGAGCGCGCTTTGCGTGCACCGTACATTTATATTTCGTGATGCCAACAGCCCCCCCCTCCCCTGCTGTACGCGTCTGTGTTAATGCTGTTGTGTGTGTGTTTAAACTCTGTGTGCATTGAATGCGCATGCACAGGGGTTGTGCATGCATAATAGACCTCATTGACATCGCGCTGTGGAGGCTTTCTTTCAGTACTGAATATAAATTAGTGGGGATGCGGCGGCTGCTGCTGCTGCTGGCTCTGCACGCGGGGCCGGCCGTGTGTGCGCAGCGGCCGCTCCCCCCCCCCCTTCTCTACAAATATACAAACATGCTCCAAACACGAGCAAAGGGAGCGAGCCGCGGAATCGCAAATCACGTGGTCGTGCAGTCCTGTGTTGTGCGTGGTCGTAACCTCGAACTGCGTTGACACGGGTTTTAGATTTTTTTTTTTTCACCGCGGTGAGGACGGGGAGGAGGGTAACGTGGGCGAGCGGTGGTGGCGCGGTTAGCAGCGGCGTTGGCGCGGCCGCCACTCGCCGGCAAAGGTTTCTCGCGGTTTTGAGTCCGGCGGCTCCTCCCCTCCCCCCACCCCCCTGGTTAATTCTGCGCTCGGCCTGCGCGATTAATCGTGCCGCGCGGTGGGTGTCGTTACACAAACAAAAAAAGATTCCGCGACCTTCTTCGTGAAAAGTATTCGGCGATACGTTGTCGGCCTCGCGTCTCAAAATTTTCAAATTTGGGGGGGTGGGGTGGAAAAGCCACATGGCGACTTTTCTCGCTGCGGGTGGCAGAATCGGCCCACTTGCAGGCCGGTGCTGCGTCGCACAGAGGCAGCTGCTGGTGGGGGTTGGGGGGGGTAGCTATCTAGGTAGCTGAAGTGCGTCTCAAGATGTGGGCGGCGCAGCATAAAGTATAAATACCGTGACCGACGAGATGCGGGACGATTCGAGTGACACGGCCTCGCGCGCCGGAGACCTCGGTTGGTGCCCTTGACCCCGGGCTTGCGCTGGCTCAGTTACGTGGTGACGGAGCTGATGCAGAGCGACCTCCACAAGATCATCGTCTCCCCACAGCCGCTCAGCTCGGACCACGTCAAGGTCTTCCTCTACCAGATCCTGCGCGGTAAGGCCCCCGCCCACGTGCCCCCCCCCCCACCCACCAGCAGCCAACAGAGCCCCCGCGGCCAATGGCGATCGTTGGCGTGGCCTCGCTGCGGCGGATGATCTCCCGACCGTACACACTATTTTAACCTGCCCTGCGCGAGTCACGGTTAAGCGGAGTGTGTCACGGAGGCCATGGTGGACGCGGAAATCGTGAATCAAAATAAAATCAAATAAATCATCCGTAAAGGCTTTGAATTGGACGTTAAAACAAGTTTTGATTTGGGCGCTTGCGTTATTCGCTTTTTAAAAGCGCCAGGCCAGGCGCTCGGCGTGGAGGTGTTCACGCAGCGTGGCGGGAGGGCAAATCGTGTGACCTCTGTACGAATATCTTTGAGTTGATTCCGATAGTCTCAATTAAACAGTTTTAAAAATTAATAGAATAACTTAATTCAAAAGCCTCTTGGTTCGTTTCTTTTTACTTTTAAATGAGGTTTGAAACAAGTTAAATTATTATATTTCCCCCCCCCCCTCCTCCCCCACCTCCACACCTCGGCTGTGAATTTTTACTAAAATGTACCGCAACGAAATTGAAGCCTACGAACGTTTACTGTACGAGATTGTGATGTGCATCTGGGTTTGGCCGCACAGCTTCGCTGGCCAGCTCGGTTATCACTGCCGACCCATTTTTGCCGACCCTTTTGTGCCGAGCTGTTTCACACCAAGCCGGCGGGGGAGGAGTTCCCCTGTGACCCGGTCATTCCTAGATTCGTGAGAACCTAAACGTTGATTCACCCGTATTCCCCCACCCCCCTGTCTTCTGATATCAAAATGTAACGGAACCATCGGCGGTAGCCCTTGCTTGCGTTCGTTGTCATTAGTTCCTCTTGGTCAACGTGGTCTCTTTTGAGCCATCGGGCCAAGACCATTTCCTTCCTTCAGTGTCGGTGTTTTGTCTCTTCCGCAGCGTCCCCCCCGTTTGACCCCTCGCCCTCCGTTGCCTCCTCCTCTCACCTCTCACGGCCACCCTCACTTACTCCCTGCTTACTCTTATCCCCCCCCCCTTCCCCCGCACCAACATGCCTGGGAACGCACTGCAGGTCTGAAGTACCTGCACTCGGCAGGCATCCTGCACAGGGACATCAAGCCGGGGAACCTCCTGGTGAACAGCAACTGCGTTCTCAAGGTGAGGGGACACTGAGGGCACAAGTCATGCCCACACAGCTCTCTCCCATCACCGGGGCCTGCTTCTCTTCCCCCCCCCCCTCCCACCGTTCAGTCAGGGGGTGAGAAACCCACGGCCGCCGGGCCAAATACGGGCACCTGCCTACGTGCTCTGAAACGGCTCCCCGAAACGAGATTCATGCATCTCGGCAGTACTGATTCAGCATTAGGGAGGCAACGTCATTCAACCTGGCAACGCCCGACTCCGCACCGGGGTATCTAGCTGCAGTGGCAGGAGTGGTGCCTGCGAGGTGTGTGGTGACGTGTGGCCCTGCCTCTAAGGTCGATTTGGAAACTTGTTTTAATCGGCCCTCCGTGAGGTCAATGTTCCCCTACCCTGCTCAAAGTTCACGTTTTACCCCGTTTGGCCAAGGTTGCCAAGTCCGCAACACCCTCCAGATTGAACGTCACATTTACAGCGGCCGATTCCCGTGCCTTTTCACTCGGGCAAACAAACTCTGCGATCGGGTCCAAATTTGCCAAATCGTGAAAATGACCTCAAAATCACTCCCAATTGGGGGCTATACACCATTCATCGCCCCCCTACCGGCAGACGAATGCCCCGGCCGACGTGCAAATAAACCAAAGCGACGACCCCCCCCCCCCCCCCCGACGGACAGGTTCCAATCCGACTCGCCACCGCCGCCGATTTCCGCGGCTGTTGAAGCGAAACCGCGGCTCGCCGTGAGCGCGACTGCGCCCCAGCGCGGCGTTGCGAGCCTAGTGAGCGTCGCTCGCCCCGCTCACAAAGGCGCGCAAACGCACCGGCGCGTTAAACGAGCGTTGCGCAGACGCTAAGGTGGTGGGGGGGGGGGGGGGGTTACCTGGGCGTCAAAAACACCCGCGCAGTTTTCTCTCGCCCGAGCACTCCAGAGCCTGAAATCGTTATTTTTATTATTAATGTTTTTTAACAAAGCAATCTATGAAAGTGTAGCTTCCTTCCGCGTCTTGATACTGTTTCTAACCGGCGGTCGTTACCGTGACTCGTGCCGATGGGCTCAGCGTGGATCTTTGAAAGCTCACTCTGTACCTCGGCTGCACAGCCAGAGTTCTTCTCGTCCGTGGATGATGGCGGTGCGGGACGGGCGCTCGGCGTGAGGCCGACGATTTGCTCCGAGAAGGGAGGTAGGAACGCAGGCCGTGTGCGTGCCCCGGGCTCCAGCCTGATGCCGTATTGACAGCCGGATTAGGCGGCCCGGCGCAGAGTCGCTTGAGGGTTTGGACCGTTGGCCGAGTTTGTGGCTCGGGGTTGCGTGCGGCTCTCGAAGCCGGCAGCCACGGCGGTTTTGAAACGTCAACCCCCCCGGGCCCTCCGGTCGTGCGCCGCGCGCAAAGCGGAGAAGCTAAGACCGCCGCCGTCCCCGTCCGCTCGCCGATTGTCAAATCTCTCGGGTCCCCAAAACCGTTACGAGCAGCAGCCCCGGACTAGACGTCCGTCTCGCGTGCGCCGTCCGCAATAGCCAGGTCGGCGCTTCTTCCCCATGCCCAGCGAGCGTGCCATGGTGGCGCTCATCGCCGTTCGGCGGTCCTGAGCCAGCGGTGGAAATTCCACGTTCCTATGGGTGTGGCGGTTCTCGCTTTAGTCGGCAGCTTTGATACGCCCCGGTACAAAGAAAATGCAGGTGTTGTGAATGACACCTTGCAGCCAGTTGACATGTTATCACTTACAGCTGCAAATGAGATCACAGGGTCCATTAATATCCACTTTGGACAGCATCCATTAGCAACTCTGGCCCTGCCGTTGAAGTCTCTGGGGCATTGACCGCCTGCAAACTGCCGAAGTAGCGAGCACCCCACGCCACTCTGCCGTTTGGTCGTCCGTGTGAGAACCGCAACACCTTGCTGATATCGTCAAGGAGCATAGACCATCACTCGAACTCTGGTCAGCCTTGCAGCTTTAGGCTAGCCGTCGGGGCTTCTCTGCGCTATGCTGTCAACGCAGAAGAGTTAGGGAGGGAGGGAGGTGCAAGCGGAGTTTTCTTTCCGCGCGTAGGAGCATGTTGATTACAGCAGGGAGATTGTGGTCGTTTCATCGTCGGTGAAATTTCCCTCCGCCCCGCCATTGCGACAGGCTTTAGGTCGGCTTAAGTAGGCACAGAAACCCATCAAAGGGGAAGGGAGTTGGCGGACGGTCCTGTAAACATTTCAGACACCTTTCTGCAGATACCCACGCGAATTATTATTTGCAAAGCTTATGGGAAGGGGAGGGGGGAGGGTGACACAGGCTATTGAATTGAGCCCTCTGAGTCGAGGTATAGTAAATCAAATGGAGTGCATCAGGTATAGTAAACCTGTGTGGGAAGTGTGAAATGTTTACTTTTGGGCGCCATTGCTGGGGGCTGATCTTGGGTGCAGCGTTCCTGAGTCCCCCCGTGCACAGCCCCGGGCCAGGTTTTGACACGGTAACTTCACGCGATGCGGTTTGCCGCGCGGTTCCCTGCATCGTCGCCCCGCACCGAGAGGCCTCTTGCGTCGTGCACCGCAAGGCCGCGCGTTCGACGGATTGAAGTCGCTCCCGTGACAGGCCCCTCCTCAGCGAGCGTGTCGCCCCCCCCCACCCCCCCGCGTGTTCGCCCCCGCGCGCAGATTTGCGACTTTGGGCTGGCGCGGCTGGAGGAGCCGGACGAGGCGCGGCACATGACGCAGGAGGTGGTGACGCAGTACTACCGGGCCCCCGAGATCCTCATGGGCAGCCGCCACTACTCCAACGCCATCGACATCTGGTCCGTGGGCTGCATCTTCGCCGAGCTGCTGGGACGACGCATCCTCTTCCAGGCGCAGAGCCCCATCCAGCAGGTGCGGCCGGGATCGCGGTTGTAAATGCGGCGGTGAAAGTCACCACCCCCCCGCCCCCAGGGGACCCCGTGTCGTGTGGCCAAGGAGGGCCCGGCGAAGGCGCCTACCATTCCGTGGCAGCCCACCTGACCGCCATTCTCGACCAGACGGCCACGTAACCCTGCAGGATCTTGCTCGACGCTCGCCTCTTCTCCGTCGCCCATTCTCTTCCTCTTTCCTCCCAATCGCCCATCCACTCCTTCATGTCCCTCCCCTAACGTTTGGTGATCCCCAGGTTTACCCCTCTGTCGCGGTCACTCATTCCGCAAACCTTGCACGCCCCCCTGCCATTTAAATAATTCCATTCTGTCACCGTTTAGTTTTTTAAACTATGTCAAGCGCCTTGAGCGAAGGTGCTCTATGAATATAGAATTAGACGAGATTAGATCCTTGACCATTGTCCGTCATTCCCTTCTCGTGATGTGACCTGCACAAAGCCCACTCATCCTGACAGTTTTTACGTTGCCAATAACCCGCACGCGTTCTCCTACGTGTGCGCCTCTTCCTGTCACTCGGTGTAATTCCAATCGTGCAACGTTCCAATGTTTCTTTCTCGCGCATTTAAATTGCAAAACCTCCAGCCGGAACAATTAGATATGCGTTACGTCGACAGCGGTGCGGCGGGGATTTCTCCCGGAGCTCGGCGAGTGGGGAAAGCGCGGCCACCTCGTCTGAATGAAAAGAGTCTCGCTTGGAGGGAATCTCAGAAGTAGTTCTGTGAAATCTCCTTTCCGCGGGCCATCATCTGAACGCACGGGGATTTTTCCAGCTCTTGTGAGCATTCCAAATGGATTTTTCTTCCAATGACCTGCGATGCAGGTCAGCACATTCCAAAGAGGACAACGTCTGGTCCGGAGAGACCTCCGTCTGCGATGTGTAGAGTGCTGTGATCATGGTTGAATTGACAGCGGAATATCCTGTTATTCCTGTTACAAGCCCTCCCTCTATATCCCGGAGAAGGTCATTCTTTCGAAATGCGGCGACTCCGCGCGGTAATCGTAAAAGAGCCCTGTTATTACGTTTAAATAACCTGTCATTAATTACGAGAGCGAATGTGTTACGACGAAAGCGTGCGTGCCGTCTCGTTCGCTTTACACACGTTCACAGAAAACAGCGACCCGATGCCTCGGTGGTGAAACAACGACGCGTCCATTCGCAGATGAATAACGATTCTTTAGCTCGTGCAAATATATAGGCATCAAATCTCGCACGTACGAATCATCGTCTTTTCGTGTTCATTGCCCGCAGCGTAAACAACAAGTTCATGAACACCTCCAGTCGCTAGAGGCTGCTACAGTCGCCACCTGACAAAAGTAATTCAGTTTCAACAAGTCGTTGAATGTGCCCGGTCCCGTCAGGTTTTTTGGAAGACAAAGCAGGCTTCAGCCTCGATAGTCCTGAGGCATTGGTGAGCAAGCGACAGCTGCAGTAGGCAGCCCACGCCGACCAGCGCGGTGAAGTGCGGTCAAACGTCCCTCGCGGCCCGCGGATGGACGGAAACGAAGCCGTGCGAGTTTGCGCGTCTGCACTCCTGGGCAGCAGCCTCTTGTCGTTTTTTTTTGTCTGAGCCGTCGCAGCGGCGGCATCAGCCCGCGATGTGGAACAAACGTCACGGGTCCGGTTCACGACGAGGGGGAGCATTCAACTTGCACGGACGTTTGCGAAACGTCTCGTTGTGGTGGCGTTCTTGAAAGTGAAATGGCGAGACGGTGAATAAAAAATAAAAAAAATCGGCGCCCTGTAATAGGTCACGGCAGACGCCCACTTAGCGCTGCTCACTTGGCCGTGTACAGAATGCCACATCCCAAAGGCGACATTAGTCAGCGGGGCGCGGCCCGCTCATTGTTCAGAGCCGCTTGAAACGGGACGGACATTGGGACCGTCGACATTGGGAGTGAAAGAAACGGGCCGCCCCCTGCACTTTGCTAAGGCGGTAGCGGCAATGTCTCCGTAGTTTAAGCAGCAGCAGCAGCGCCTGCGGCATTGTTTGGCTGCAGCAGTAACAGCATTTGCACAGGCGTCATTATCAGCAGCGTCAACACCGGCAGCAGAATAATCGACGGCGTTGTCGTATTCAGCGGTAACATCCATCGTCCGAACACTATTTGCAGGTAATGCAATCACGACGGCCAATTGAGCGTCTGGCCTAGAACTGCTCTGGCTTGGCTGTGTCTGGTGCGGGTAAATGTGGTGCAGCTTGGAGATCGTCGTCATCATAGCTTGGGTGACAAGGATACGGCACTGCCCTCTGACAGCTACGCAGACGAAAACGGGCTTTTACGTGTGTATGGCGGTTAGCCGCTGCAAATGGCAATAGTCCCCGATGTATTGTCTGGCTGTCACGTCAGGGCAATTATAGGGCTGTAATCACTTCGCCTGCCCTCCCCGGCGACAGAATGAATTATCACGATTTCCGAACTCTCAAGATTTCCAATCCTGGCGACCCCAGAAAAGTCCTGGCAGGGTCACAAGGATTGGAGTCGGGAAACGGCGTTGCAAGGGATTCATCTTCTTGGTTCTTTAGGTAAAGTCACGTAGAAGGGAAGTAATAAAAATAAAACATAATAAAATAGTTCTCACGACGTTTCGGCCACAACGCAAGCAGCCGTCCTCAAGTGAAGAACAGGTCTGTCGGAAAGACAGACCTGTTCTTCACCTGAGGACGGCTGCTTGTGGCTGCTTGCGTTGTGGCAGAAACGTCGTTAGAACTATTTTATTATGTTTTATTTTTATTATTTTATTATTTCCCTTCTACGTGACTTTACCGAAAGAACCAAGAAGATGAATCCCTGCAGTCACGAAAGCTTTAAATCGAAAGTTGCAAGGGATGTTGATGACGGCGACGGCGACGGTGACGTTGTTTGTTGTGGCCTCTGCGATCGCGACGCTGACAACGACGCTGACGATGGCGGTGCTGATTCCGCGTCCATGTCTTGTCGCCCCCAGCTGGACCTCATCACGGACCTGCTCGGCACTCCCTCCATGGAGGCGATGAGGACGGCGTGCGAGGGAGCTCGCGCTCACGTTCTCAGAGGCCCTCACAAGCAGGTGAGACGGGACTGTCGGTGTGAGAGGCGTGAGAACTCTTAAGCGCCTGTTAAAGAGGGCCCGCACGGGGGGCGCAAGGGGGTGGTGGTAGTGGCCAGCACCAGGCCCGTGGAACTTTTGCCCTCTTGGTTGCTGATGTTCACACCACCGCACCAGGTACAGCGTTTCCCGCGTTATCTGCGAGGGATTTGTTCCGGAGATGCTCGTGATAGCACACTTTTGGCGGATAACGATATTGGCCTACGAAAACTAATCTTTTTAAAGATTACTTTACCTCGTCACTTCCTCTCTCTCTCAGTCGTACAGAGTTCCAAATTGCAAACCGCAAGTTCGCGAATAACGAGGGAATGCCGTGTTCCTTTAAGGCGAGTCGGTCTTGCATAGACGCAGGACACGCTGAGATCCCGCTTGGCACTTACGTATGTGTGTTTCTCTTCTTGGCTCCTTCGGTAAAGTCACATAGAAGTGAAATAATAAAATAATAAGGAAGAAAAAGGAGGAAGAAAAAAATAAGAAGAAAAACATAATAAAATACAAGAAAAAATCTTTATTTTTTTCTCCTCCTTCTACGTGACTTTACCGAAAGAACCAAGAAGATGAATCCCTGCAGTCACGAAAGAAGCTTTGAATCGAAAAAAAAAGCACGTGTGTTTGTTGAACTTCTTTCGCAATCGAACGTAGCCAAACGTTCGTGTGTAGCCAGGAATGGCTCCCCGCTCGCTGGGGGTTCTAGGCCATCACGGTAGCCACTGCACCCCGTGCCCAGTCGCCTTCCTTCCTTCGTCAGTTGTCAGCCGCTCCTTCGCACAACCCGCGACTCGACTCCCCAAAAGGTGGGCCGCGTCCTATCAACCGCCTCCGAGATGAATGGCCGACTCGACCACTGACTGGGGTTTGAGGTCGATTAGAATCATGCAACCCCCCCCCCCCTCCCCCACGTCTCTCCACCCAGCAGTAGACACCACAGTTTAGTCGATCGGCAGGTCACGTGCGGTGAGGCAAAGTCTGGGGTGCTCCCATCTCCTCCAAGGCGTCTGACCAGCGCGGAAGCGTAGGCTAGAATGCCCTTTTGAGCGAGCATCCCCCTCCCCCCCCCCCCAGCTCCCTCTCGTGGCAGCCCTTCCGCCAGCGGACGCGCGAGCCAAGCACTCTCGCGCGTCCGCCGCGCACACCTCGACCATCCGCCAGCGAGCCGCCGGCGCCGCCTCCGTCCCGCCGGACAACCGGCGGAGTCGCTTGGGCCCCTGTGCCGCTGTGAGTTTGGTGGAGGCCAGTGGGTCCATGTGGGGGTTTTTATTTTTTCTCTCTCTGTCTCAAGATATGTACCGAAAAACAGACCGGGTAAGGAGAAAGGGTTGATATTCTTAGGTTTTTTCGGTAAAGTCGCGTAGGTAAAAAATTAAAATTAATAAAAGTATTTTTCTTTTATTAATTTTAAGAATATGAATCCTTGCAGTCACGAAAGCTTCAAATCGAGAAAGGGTTGCCCCGACGGCCAAAGCACGGAGAACTGGGTTAACCACTGAGCAGCTGGAGCAAATCTCGTTAAGGCGGATTTGTGAGGAGGGGGCGGGGGGGGGGAAAGGTTTATTGTCGGTAACCTTCAAGGAAAGCCCTGGAAATAAGGTCTGGTGTTGCAGTTGATTTATAGCGAGGTGGTTGGCCCTGCGGTGGCCTACCTTCCCTGATGCAGTGGAGATGGTGATGGCGGCGACGATGGGTGATGGTGATGGGGTTTGAAGAAGCATCCGCGAACGGTTGTGCGTCAGTGATGTGTTGGACGCCATGCGGTTGGGAACGCGGCTTTGCTTAAGGCAGGTTTAGCAGTCCGGCTCAGGGTGATTATCGTAAAATATAAAGGCTGTTCAACGGCTTAGGTTTAGTTTGCAACCCTTCTTCGTATATTTATCTCTTTCAAAATGGTGCTCTTACTCCAAAGAGTCTGGGCCCACGTGCAGGAAGGTCTGCGATTCTCCAGGAGGGTATACGGGAAACAAAACAAACAAACAAAAAACTTCACGCGAGCGACTCTGGTAACTGAATCGACAACAAATCTGACGTTATTTCATCATTTCCCCCCGTATTCTCCACGTGGTGTTTTTCCATTATTGTGGGGAGGAAAAAAAAAAAAACCCCTGGGCACGAACGCGGCGGCTAAGCTGGTGGAGAAGCGGCGTGCCGGGATTAAGAGCTCACGCTCACGGTGCCGCCCTCCTCCCCTCTCTTTCCGCCGTTCCTCCTCGCCCCCACGCGCCCTTGAGGCATCAATCCCCTGTCCTTGAATCCTACCGCCCTCACTGCCCTGCTCCTCCTTCCACCACCCCCCCTCCCCCCCATGTCCTCTTTTTTTTACCTGCTTAGAGACCCCCAAAGCAGGCCACAGGCTGCACTTCTGTCTGTCTGTCTCGGCTGCTTTTAAGCACTGAGAGCTGAAGATTAATTTTAAAGGGGCTGTCAGTTTAGTCCCACGGAACATCGGGACTATTTTTAAATGCGCGACGCTCTTCGTCGTTTTGTGGGTCTCGTGAAAACGGCGGCAAACGAACGTTTTTTTTCGGGAAATGGCTTTGAGGTTACGGGTGCAGTGAGTGCATAAATATGTCCTGTGGTTGATCATCTCCTTACACAACTTTAGCCGGTTTTTCGCCAAGCTGACATTCCAGTGCGCTCACCTCCGATTCGTGCAGTTGGCTATGTACTGCGCGACAGAAGTTTGACATGCGTATATAGAGGGTGTCCGCAGTCATCCAGCTCGCGTGCGGGTGCTGGATGGACCGCTGGCATCGCAAGACTTATGAGATATGGCAAAAGATTGTGGAGGCCTTCGTCCAGCAATGGAGTACGGTAATCATAGCAGATGATGATGATAGCGATGATTCAATGAGCCACCTAGACATTTCTGCAGGGAACTACCAATCCACTGACCATCCTGTAGAAGTGAGTGTTTATAAATCTGATATCGCTGGCAGGCAAAGACAAGCGTGCTGATAATTTGATTTGAGTGCGTCATTTTTCACGACAAATAATAGTGCAAAACGAATTAGTAACTTGCCGAGTAAATACGGCAACCCAAATCTCTTGCCAAGGACATACTGTGTATCTCAATGAGAATTTAACCTATTAAATATAGAAACACTACGGTAAAATGTTAATCTGACAGGCTGTGGAATGTGAAGCGAATCTGCAATTTTGCCATCTCATAATTGAAGATGTCGCTTTAACTTTTTCACTCGTTCTTCGCGTGTGGATATCAAGGATCGGTAAACGGTGTTCGCGCAGCCACAGCAACCATCTTGCTCGCATCACTGCTTGAGGAATCTCTCGTGAGCGCCTCCCTCCTCCAGCATATTTGGCCTACTCCTCCACACAGGCCAGACAGCTTGGTACCCGGGGGGGCGGGGGTGTGAGGGGTATGTGGCAGCGTTATGCGACGCATAGGGCCCAAGTCGGCCACAAGAGGTGGGCCCCCAATCAACGGATAAACAAGTAACCAAATGTTCAGATTTGTTTGTAATGTATTCGTCAAAAATTACCTGCCGTCTATGATGCAGCAAGCCCGGCGATTAACGCGTCTGGCGATCGTATCAATAAAACAGCATCAGGTTGTGCGATCCCACCCCCCCTTTTGAGGAAATCCTAGAGTGATAGTGGCCCGGCGTGAAAGCAAGACGCACAATAACTTAACTGTGAGTATTGTACCTTTAAATATTAGTTTTTATTAATACTGTCAATGTGGGACTGTCTTCATCTGAACCCAATACACCCGTTCAACTAAAATAATATACGTAGTTATAGCCTACATATGATAGTATGTACGGGGTAAAAATAACCCTAGCTATTTCAGTAAAAGCGAGTCGGGAGAAATGAGGGACATGATGTGGGGGGGGGGGGGGGGAGCCCACAGTCGTATCTTGCATAGCCCCCCATTTTTAAAAAGGTCCTTGCACCCCTGGGGGGTACCCCCCCCCACACTTTACCCCATCGCACGCAAACCTGCCGATCGACCAACCGGTGCCAACCCGTTTACACTGCCGGACGGACAGAGGTGGCGTGGGAATAGAAATTTTAATAAACAATCATTCACTGCATTCAGAAAAACATTGAGTTCATCGTCACGCATCTCGCAAGTGAACGCCACGGTGGCTATGAGATGTTGACTACCTCGCCTGGTGTACAGGGTGGTCGTGGGTTCAATCCCGACCCTTGCGTTTGTATATTTGGAGTTTGCATGTTCTGCCCGTGGTCGCGTGGATTTTTCTCCGGGTCCTCCGGTGTTTTCCCTCCACGTTTTGGCTGCGATGCATTCCCACGTGATAAGCCACTTGATTCAGCTATCATTTGTGGCCACGTCGCTTCTGCATAAGAGCTGTAGAGGCTCGGTGAGCCTCACTTGGTAAAATAAAAATCGTTACTAGTTAGTAGCAAGCAATCTTGGTGCGTGTATGAAATATCATCTTGCCTTGTCATTTTGGCAAAAACGCTGTTGACTTCAAAGCAAACCGTAACGTGAAAAAAACGTCAAAGCTCCTTTGTTAAATTATTATTCCTACTCCAGAAAAAGCGCTTAAATATCGTAAATATAGACGCGCACACAGAGAGCTGCACGACCGCGCGGAGTTTGGCACGAGCGAGCCGTGCTCCACGCTTGTCTATTCAACGCTCGGTGAAAGCTGCCATGGTGTATTGAGGGTTTCGCACCGGGCAATGCGATGCGATCAGTGGTCGCCGTTTTTCAATATCCCGTCGCGGCAAGTTTCTTACACCGCTCCCGTCGCCTCTGTCCTGCCAGCAGTCCAAGTGGGCACGCTGCAGTTTGTCGATGCCGCAGGTCGCATATGGTGAGACAAAGTGTGGGTAGTCGCACCTCTTCCCAGAGGGGGCTCTGCTGGCTCCTCCTGCAGCAGTGGCATGCGCCAACAATCGCAGGGCCCACACGTTTATCTTCGTATCTTTTACTGAACTCTGCCTTGCTTGCTAGGGGATGGTGGAACCCAGAGAGTAACCCCCCAACCCTCATTTGCAGCATTCTCCAGGTGATTCTGTCTTTGACTCGACTCTCCTCTGTCTCTGTGTGTGTGTGTATGTGCACATGCATCAGCGGAGATCATGGGAAGCGCTGTGGTTAAAAACAAAAATAATACCCCGGGTGGAATCCAGAGAAGCAGTCTGTTGACAGCTCACCTGTGACGACCGTCATTGCAAAACTGTGTTCAGAGAAATGTAGACTTCTCCGCAGTCTCTGTACCTCCGTGTTGTTGTGAAACAAGTTTAGTTGACATACTGTGCACCAGCTGTCACTTGAAATATACGGAAAAAAAATGTATTGCCCGCAAATCACTTGATTGGCGTCATACGGTACGTAGCAATCATCTCTGCCTTTGCGCGAAAACGTGGCAGGAGCCTCCTAAAAAAAGCGAGCCATGAGGCTCGGTGAGGGAGCCTATGCTGGGTAAACAACCGCAACAACAACCTGAGCCAGGCCAGCATCGGAGATTGAGGCACGTTTACATTTTTAAACCCAGTTGCCGCATGCGGTTTTTGACGTGTTTTAATGTTTGAAGAATGGGGGGGGGGAGGGGGAGAAACAAAAAAGCACTGCCGGACCTGAACTGGAGTGTGCGTTGGTCAGTATAAACATAAAATTTAAATGAAACCACGACCGACTTTTGCAGTTTCTACCGGCGCTATATTGAGGTCTTGGGGGCACCAATATCCGCCAGCGCTGTGGTGAGCACGCTGCCTGTCCCCCCCCCGCCCCCCTTGGCGCCCGTAATAATAGCGCCCCGTGCGAGAGACGCACGCCGACCCAGATTTGGCCAATCCGTTTCAGCTGTGTGTGGTAGATGAGTAGATTAAAGTGGAAAACCGTGAATTCTGCCGGTGGTCTCTGCCGGGAGACATTTTACTCCGACTCCCATTTAACCGTTCCCAATGCTGGGCCCGCGGGTGGTCAGGGCGTCGTTCCCTGGACAGAACCGGCGATGATCAGTTTTGAGCGGTGACAGGCGGGCGGTCGGGCGGTCGGGCGGGCGCTGCTTCCGCGACCGCGTCCGGGCCCAGCGACACAAGCAGCGCCCACAAATGTGCCAAATATAAAAAAAACAATAAAGACCCCAACTACCTCCCATCATTCACACTGCCTTGTAATTACTACGCTGCCTCGTAATAACTACCACTGCCTCGTAATAATTACCGCTGCCCTGTCACAGTCGCAGCCGCCCTGCATTAACTACTACCTCTGCCGTGCGTGACTCGCATCAGCTCTTTCAAGATCAAGTATCGCAGATCTCCGCGTGTGTTATTCTGTTCGACGGAGCATGGCTTGGTGCTAATCGTCTCCTTGAAAGCCCTGAACCGCGAGTTGAAATTCCACATTCGTATGGATTAACATGTTTTTATATCTTCTTGGTTCTTTCGGTAAAGTCACGTAGAAGGGAAATAATAAAATAAAAAACGTAATAAAATAATTTTTTTATGTACTATTTTTTTTATTCTAATATTTCCCTTCCACGTGACTTATTTTTATTATTTTATTATTTCCCTTCTACGTGACTTTACCGAAAGAACCAAGAAGATGAATCCCTGCAGTCACGAAAGCTTTAAATCGAAATGTTGTTATATATTTATATATTTTTTGAATCACTATTGCTGGGACACAGAGCCAAAGGCCAGTAATGCAGAATGGACAGCGCTCATGATAGTCTGCAGCAATGCGTGCTGATGGGTTCGTGGCGGCAACTAGTTTTGTGTACGGTAGTTAATTCAGGTGTCTGGTCACGCACACCGTTTAACGATCCCCATGGTTGGTTGGCCGTGCACAATTCTAATTGTACACCGCTCAGTCGGTCCGCTGATGGATGAAGGGCCCCTCTTGAACACGTGGGTCATGGCGGGGTTTTTAAACATACTTGACCGCGCTGGTCAGTGTGGATTGCAGAAGGACGGGGGTTGCCCAGGACTGGTTCAGATCAGACATCACTCGCTGCTGCCGTTTCAAAAACAGATGGAATTGAATGCGCAGGGCGCAAACCACTGCGCCACCGTTCCCCTTCCATACAAAACGTGACCAGGCGGGGAGAGGCCATTAAGTCAAGAGCTCCTTGGCAAGGGGGAGGCCTGGGTTTGCAAATAAGTACGGTTCAAAATACCTCAGGACAAGCTGTACAACCATCAACAATTAATCACCAGATAAAATGGGGAAAAAGAGACACATTTTTGCTCGTCACCAAACGTAAATAGAAATGATTTGCAATAATTCAGCGCTTAAATACTGAACAACACATCCAAGATCAAAACGTTCAAGACGTTTGGAAAAATAACGACATTCGCAATGGATTATGCAACGCTTTGCGGCGTGCGTTTACCTTTGGAAGTATTTTAATCGCCGTTATGGAATCTTGACAGGGGTAGCTGTCGGGGCAAAACACGTATTCATATTTGTAAATCCAGTCGTCCTTTTTGTTTTTTGCTCTGTGCCTCAAATTTTTGGAACCCTTGGATCAATTTGGCCTGATGTCTCTAGGGCGAGTCCCTGAACAGCTACCCACCTTTGTGTAAAAGTTTCATTTCTAGAGGATCATTGTTAGGAGAGTTTTCGTGCGCCGTGGGACGGACAGCTTAGTTGCAGAGCGTTAAAAGAACACATTGTACGTTGACAGTGCCCAACCCTACTCTGGCATCGTTAAACCCCGAGAGGTGACCTCTTAATTATTTAACATCTCACCGCGGTGCCGAGTGGTTAAATACGTCGGGTGGTATGCAGGAGGTCGTGGGTTCGATCGTGACCCTGACGCCTCTATATTTGGAGTTTGCACGTATGTCTACCCCCGTGGTCGTGTGGGTTTTTCTCCGGATATTCAGTTTTTTTTCCTCCACATTTAGAATCAGCATCACGCATTTTACGAGTATCCGGCTGCTATACATGTCCACGTAATGATAAGCCACTTCGTTGCGCTATCATTTGTGATGGCCGGTTCGCTCATGAAAAAGAGCGACATAGCTCAGTTTGTGGGCCTTGCCACAAAAGATGTATTACCGAAGCTATCAACAGAAGGTGTGCACAGGATTAACTGCACGTGTGCAAACTGTTAGGACGAATGATCAGCACGAGACTAAAAGAACATCAGTGAAATATGACTGCTCCCTCCCACACACAACTGTCAGCAGTAGCAGAACACGCGGTGCCAACAAGGGCACTCAATTGATTTTGATGTTGAAGTTCTGTGCAAAACTCGCTCCTACTGGCCAAGACTAATTGGAGAATCTAACGAAATTTAAGGAAATAAAAGTAATTTTAGCCGTTCGGACAACTACCGCCTTAGTGCTGCGTGGAAGCGAATTACTAATATAATGAGCCAAGAATGTGTGTGTGTGTGTCCCGTGCGTGACGTCACTCCACATGAGGCCCATCCCCACCCCCGCATTAATAATCATGAGCTGAACAATTTTTCTATTTAATATTTAAGATTTACGGCAATATACACCCGTCCTTGGACGGGCAAACAAGCTAGTCATCAAATAAGACATTATTTAAATGCATGCCTATAAAGGGCAGCATACTTCAGTAGGGATTACGGTTGGTATGGCTATTTTAATACACGCAATAGATAGGAAGGACAATATCTAAGGGCTCACATAATGCATAATGTACGTTGACTCATTAATCTCCCCTCCCCAACTTTGCGCAAGAGCGCAGAAGCGTGGTCACCACATCTACGCCTCCTATATAAGGAACGAAACGGGTGGACTTCTCCACAAATCTGGCTGTCGCCTGATGAAGCTGGTTGCAATTACTGGCAAAACGTCCTACTCAGATTGTGAATGTTGTGGCTTGGATGGGCGACCACGCATCGCACAGAGCCACGTGCCACAAGTGCGGCAGAGGCGTTTTTTACGAGCAGCGGAGGGGCAATGCGGCAACGCCCGTTGCTGTCCTGCGCTTCCCCCACCCCCCCACCACCTTCAAACAACCCACGCTGACCAGCGCGGTGAAGTCATGGTCAGATAACTTCCTCGCGGCCCGCACGGTGTTGGGCGGGGCCCTCATCCGGCGGCGTATCGCGTCAACGGGCTGCATTTTGACGGTGGACCGGGAAGCGATCTCCTCCACCCGGTCCCCCCCCACACTTTTTGCGAGCACGACTCTAGAAGGCGGCGGGACACTCGCACTGATCGGTGAAACTTGTCGGAAGACGGAGGAGTGTCCGCATCGGATCCCTCCAGCCTAGATCAGGATTCTGCTTGTGTTTCTGTCCGAGTGTGGTAAATCCCGACTGGTTCGCGCTGTGGCAAGCCCACTTTCAGGCCGGTGCTATGTTCACCTTGTGCCTCACAGGAGCAGCTGTCATCAGGGACCCCCCCCCCCCCCCGCCACCGCTAGACTTAAAAACATCTGTGCTCTGAGATGTGTGTTTGTTACATTATGGGCGTGATACAAATGCCAGTCGTCGTGACCTCCGTCTTGTCGCCGACACGCTCCCTGTGCCGTGCCTCGCGCCCCCTGGGCTGCGTGCCTCATTCCCCCGTGTCGTGTGTTCTGCTGCTCTGTGTGGGTCCGCAGTCGTCCCTGGCCGCCCTCTACTCGCTCTCCAACCAGGCCACCCATGAGGCTGTGCACCTCCTCTGCAGGATGCTCGTCTTTGACCCCGTGAGTTGCGCGTCGCCGATTCGGCGAAACAAATCGGCGGTACTGATTTTTTTTTTTATTCAAATATATTTTTGAAGATTAACTTCACGAATGAAAGTTCACTTGCATGTAATTTGTAATAATTTTTTCGAGTTTTTTTTACAATTAAAATACATCATAAAGGTTGACCTCTAGAGGTTATGAGGTCAGTGCGCTGAGCTTGGCACCGCTGAGACCCTGGCTTCGAGTCCAGGCAGCTGCCGGAGATTCAACTGAGTTCTGGCAACAAAAAAAAACATCGCATTAAATTTGTTCCGCACTTTAGTTGGCATAAATCAAATCTGGTGGAGAACATTGCTTCAAAACATCCATAGTTTCGTGGAACAAAACGTTTTTCTTACTCTGCAATGTTTTCTGTCGGGCTGCACCACACACGGTTCCACATTACGTCCGATGCCCCGGTCCACGCGTCGGGAGTTTTGCGCGCACGTGGCTGCGAGCGGCAACGTCGCGGGTATGGCGCGAAAAACACGACGCGCAGCCGTGCAGTGCAACCGTCGAAAAAACCCCGCGCGGTCGCGTCTATTGCTTGTACGTATGTATGTAGAACTTTTTTACGCACCCTACGAGAGTCAACTGCGGGCAACAAACTAAACACGCCGGCGGTGCGCCTTCCCGTCCTCAGACGAAGCGTATTTCGGCGCGGGACGCCCTGGCGCATCCGTACCTGGAGGAGGGCCGCCTGCGCTACCACACGTGCATGTGCAGCTGCTGCCACAGCGCGGGCACCGGGCGCGTCTACACGGGCGACTTCGAGCCGCCCGCCAACCCGCGCTTCGACGACTCCTTCGAAAAGAACCTCACGTCTGTGCGGCAGGTCAAAGGTCAGCGGAAGGGGGGGGGGGGGTGCTCGGCTCGCCGGCGGAGGAAATCGATGGCGCGCGCGTGCGTGGTTACTTTGCGTGGCGGGCGATGAGGTGCCGAGCCGAGAGAGGTGAAGTAATCGTCGTCGACGTGTTTCACGCGCCAAGTTGGGACGCGCACCGATCGAGGAATTGAGTCGTAAGTCAGAAACATTCTAATCTCGGGTACGACGGCGGCAAATACGTTCAGCATCTGAATGCCGGTGTGGAGCTCTGCTAGCCACGAGAGGGCTTCAAGAGAGAGTTCGTGGCGTCTTGCTGTTCCCCACTCCTCCATTGCAGGAAGCGCAGACTGCGGTGGTTTATTCTATGGTCCATAATTTGCGTCGCGTGGCCACAGTCGCACAACTGTGGCGCTTGCCTTGAATGTTTACCCCACGGAGGAGATGCGCGCATCGTCCCATTGATGCTCTTAATGCATTTGATGGTTACACCACTAATTCTAGATTTGAAGCTTTCGTGACTGCAATGATTCATACTCTTAGGTTTTTTCGGTAAAGTCACGTAGGTAAAAAATAAAATTACTAAAAGTAATAATAGAAATAAAATAAAAAATCACGACGTTTCGGCGGCAACACAAGTCTCCGTCATCAGGTGGGACCGTCACAGCTAGATTTACTGCATCAAGTGAGGCAAAATTCCAAGAGACCAGCCCTTAAATACAAGGTAAGGGGGGGAGGGGCTTATCTGAATGTGGTAACCAGGGAATGTCACGTGTTGGGGTGGTGGGCGGGGCTACAAGAGAAATTGGCCAATGTCGTCAATGTACAAGAGAACAATCGGTGTACCTCGACTTAAACCGGTGTTGGCTGAAAATCCAAATACAAAAAAACAGTACTGTTAAACGCTGGGGATGTCAACACTCGGTAAAGTAGAAAAGTACCTGTCAAATAAGATGGTACAAATATGTGTGTACCAATGTCTATCGAGGATGTCAAAGCCAGAAGGGTGCGACATTTGGATCTCGAATGCGGTGCGTGAGCGCGACGTCCGCGTTGTTTCGCAATGTTCGCCGGCGTTCTCGTGGACAGCGGTTGGTGAAGGTGAGACGGGTCGGCGGGAACCTACGCCGTTAAGTTGTCCTCCCTTCAAAAGTGTCGTTATTGCCTCGCTAGAATCAATCTGCGGCTATTTTGTTGTCGTGAACCATCGTGCGGCCAGCTCGCCTCTCGCGCTGTTCATTTTGTCGTCACCGTGACTCACCTTCGTCACACCGGCACTTGGAGGCGTCAAAACTAAATGTTTCTCAAGAGTTGCGGCGCTGTGAATCTGCCAAGCCGAGCGCCGCTTGCCGTCGCTGCTGGCAGTGGCCTGTGGCTTGCGGGCGTCCCCAACAGCGTCACGCATCTCTTAATCAGTGCGGAGTCCACGCGGAGGGTGGGGTGGGGGCGGGGGGGGCTCCCAGGGGGGGCACCCAATGTCCAGGCTCTGTCTGGGCTCTGTCTAGACACTGTCTAGACACCGCAGGATCATCATCGTGGAAGGCTGTTGGCTCACCCATTGAGGCATCCCTACCCTGCATTTCTCTCCGAACAGCAATCACCCAGCCATTTACTCACTTCTATCACCCGTCATTGATTTTTATTTTTGGATTCCCCCCCCGTAACCTGTGTATTTGACCACATGACGAGCCACCCTGGCCCACACCACACCACCGTGATGATTCTGTGGATTGTCATTCTTCGAAAGCGCAGTTGAAAGATTGTAGATTCTTGTTTGACCTTGCTTCTATTGCCTAATTTATATTGTTTATCCCGATCTGTGTCAATCGTTCCATAAGCTCACATTGTTCAGCCCCTCGCGTGCACTTTCACGTTTAAATCGTGAGCGAAATAATATTGTTTTTTCATTTAATCATTTGTTACCTGCCAGCTTGCATAAATTTTCACTGAATTTCATGTCTTTTCATCGACATCAACCCACATCATGAATTACTTGATATCGTACAGCATACAATGTGCAAATCGACGTCCTGAAGCACCCACGCGATTTTAGAAGCACGATCGAACGGGAAGAGCGCTGCACGTTCGAAGTAAAAAATTACCTTAAAATCACAAATCGCCTTCACTCACTTGGTATTAGTTCCCATAGCGCAAGGCTCTCTCGAATGCGCTACGTTTCACGGACGTAGTCTGTAAGTGGTTTGACATCTGGGGCGATGTTGTGTGTGAGTTGCCATGTGTTCTCCCGATAGCAGGGAGTGGTGGTGGAGCGGTTAGCGCGCTGCACTACGAACCCGGCGACTCGCGTTCGATTCCCGCTCATAACCAACATGAGTGACGATTATTATCTGACCCGGTCCTGGGCCTCCCCTAGGTCGACACAGCCTCAATTGAGTAGCTGGTGCGGTGTGTAAATATCGCCAATGGGAGACAAAGGCGGTCGGGCGTGGTGCTGGCCACCTACCCCCTCGTGTACCGTTCCGGCCTTCGTAGGTGCTCGCTAACAGCACTTGCCCAAACAGTCCGTTAAGGCTACACGGGGGATCTTTGTCTTTGTCCTCTCGATGGAATAATTTGTCGGTACATTTTCTTTCTCTTCGGACCGTGACACCGGTATAAAACACGGCGGCCGGCAGGCGCCGTTGCCGTGCTTTTGAGAGGTGCTCGCTAACAACGCTTGCGCCAACACGCCGTGTAGGCCGGCACGGGAGATGTTTGTCCACGTCGTGCCTTCATCTGCATGCTTTTGTTTTTCTGTTCTGACCTTAGAAATGATCTACCATTTCATCCTGGAGCAGCAGAAGGCATCGAGGGTTCCGCTCTGCATCAACCCGCAGTCTGCGGCCTTCAAGAGCTTCGTCAGGTCTGACCACGACGCTCCCATGTCACGCCCCGGTGCGCATGCAAATCGTTCTATTGTGTCGCCGTTTTCGAAAAAGGGGCTCTGTAAAGATAAAATAAGAAAATTGGAATCTTAGGCCAATTCCTTTTCGTTGAGTATTTGCACGTGGTGTAGAAGCCGGGACTGCCCGTTGAAAAACCGCGCCTCGGAATACGAGGAACCCGCTCAACCTCACCGGCATCTTCTGGTCACCTCGCGGCCCAGTAGTTTTGGCTTTTGCCGTGTGGGTCTTACCGAGCCTCGCCTCCCAAAGCACCGGCTCGCTCGCCGGTGCGGGCGCATCGTCGTCACTCCCTGGCGTGGCCCTCACTGCTGCCCCCCTTGCCTGCCCCCCTCCCCACCACCACCACCAACACCCCCCCCCCCCCACCTTGTGTTTAACCCTCACAGCTCCACGGTGGCTCAACCATCGGAGATGCCTCCATCTCCGCTCGTGTGGGAGTGAGCAGCGCCGGGGATGCCGACACCCGGGTGGCATGGACGCGCCAACAAGGCAGACAAGGCCGTAGAAGCCGGACTCGCTTCACCGACGATTTCTTATCATTTTTATTATTTTAAATCGATTTTAACAGGAGGGAGAGAGAGAAAAAAAGTACACTTTGCACACAAGTAGAAATTGCAGCAGCTCCTAAACCCGCTAAGTGCGGAGTAGTTTTAACACCTGTAAAACACTGCTGTTAATTTCACAATTGTCTCGTTTAGGATTTGTCTTTGATTATTTTTTTTTCGCTTATTTCATTTGTGTTTAATGAAGAAACGAAGTCGGGCCACTGGTTTCCACAGCAGAAGCTGACTGTGGAGTTAAAGACTCGGTTTTTAACAGCGACGAATGTTTAAAGCTGCCATCCGTCACAGCCTGGCTGCCCACGCCGCGCCCTGCGTGAGTGCGAGAGGCCTTAGGGAGAGAAACCCCCCCACGTGAAACGAGACGCCCCCACCACCGCCACCACCACTGCCCCCCACACACGCCCGTGCGTCTGGAACACAAGCAGCAGCAGCGGCAGCAACAACACCGACTTCAAATGCCGACCAGTCGGAGCGTGACGAAGAAACTACGACCTGTGCCCGCGGCGCCTCCAGCCTCTCTTCACGGGGCGGCGTTTCGCAGGATCGCGTTTCGCAGCCGCCGAGGTTTCGGGGGATGCGCGAAGGGAGAGCAGCAGGTTTACATTTTCCTGACAAGATTATAAGTGAGCTTGGTTTCACGGCGGTTTTGGAAACCGGCAAAAGTCATCTCCGCGCTCGGATGTGACAGGATGCCAGAAGGAGCCGCATCTTAGGGCTGTTTGCTGTGCGCTGTCTGTGACGGCACGAGAGAAAGAGAGCGCATGTCGTGTCGCCAAGGACTCCGCTGTAAAACGAGGCTGCCCTCTCCGCGGCGCGGTTCGTCCCGGCAGTACGGCACGCGTCTCAATTGTGCAGCGGCCACCGCGCCTTCGGAAAAGCCGGGGCGGGAGGAAGAAACAAAAAGCGAGGTCGTGGCAGCGCAGGCGATCACTTGAATTCCCCGTCACCACTTGCAACGATAGACGGAGCCTCTTCATCACCGACCCCCTCCATCCCTCATTCCCCAGCCGGGCCACGGGAACACAAGTGTCGGTGTCGAGTCCTCCGTACGCCGCGCGAGCGTCCGCTGCTGGGTTCGGCGGTGATCAGCGATGGAGGTGCCACATCGACGCGCCCTGCGTTGAACGTTTTGCAGCTTTCAAACCCCCGCCGTCAATACGCTTCGGTCAACCTTTCAGCCAAAAACGTCGACCAAGGTGTAATTCCTCGTCAGTGTTTGTTTTAACTTCCTAATTATTAAGTGTTATTTATTTCGGGTTTTTTTGTTGTTGCTCATGCCATTTTTTTCCTCACGACGCATATTTTTTATTCCGATAATGGCAACGTTACGGCCTAGCGTTACAAGTAGGTCATGCTGCTCAGCAGAGATAGGAAGGAGGGAGCAAAACCGTCGCATTTTGTGACAAACGGAGGAGATGGCCGGGGCTAGGAGCCAGTGCATCAAGTTGACAAATGGTCACGCCAAGATTTGGCTTCAGGGAGTTGAAAGAGACTGTTCTTAACACTGATTCCAACGCCTCAAGCTTCTGCATCGCTAACTGTACATAGTTCGAGAGACGTGAAGATGGCGGCACAGCGATCTAACTGGAGAGTTCCATTTTTTAAAATTGCTTTTTTCAAGTTGTACATCTTTGCTTTGGAGCTGCCTGCATTCAGAATTGACTGGACTGAACAATGAAGCGGAAATAAGTAGTTTTATTTTCCCCCTCCCCCCCCCCCATAAATATTATCGTTATTATTATTCTATTTGCGAATCGAGGCAACGGGATCGCTTTCCCTCGGACTTGGGTTTTCTATGAAGGCCTTCCGCGATCGCTACCCGCCCACCCCGCACCGCCTCTTCCCGTCGGTCTCGGCCGGGCCCTCGGGACCAAACGAGAGCGACCATGGCCACCGCTCCCGCAGCAGCGGGGGTTCCACGTGCCGACAGCGGCGGCGACGAACCGACGCCCGCGTCCCGAGCCACGCGCCGAGGTTGCTGCGGGAGCGGGCGGCAGGAGGAGGCTCCCGGGAAGGCCCCCCACCCCCCCCACCCCCCCAAGGTTTCCTTCCTACGCCACCTTACACCACAGTGGCTCCCCCAAAATGTGGTCGGGCCAGCGGCGTCTTTAGGAGGGCAGCCGAGGCCCCGGCCCCCCTAGTTCCAGCTGACCCAAAGCCCCGTGCTCTGATGGGTGGAGCGGTGGTGGGGGGGGGGGGGGCTGGGTGTTGTGGGGGGCTCCAGCGGTTGCGGGGTATCTGGCTGCTGGGTTCTGCGCGGCGGGAGTGACGGGCGCACGTGTGCGTGGCGAGGCTCCGGTACGAGACGCCCCGGTGGAGCTGAATCCTGGCTGCGTGTGGGTTGATTGCGGCCGCGCTCTGGTCGTCGATGTGAAAATGTGCAACTCGTTGCTTGGGGCGGGGATGGCGGTGTGCTTGGATAGGAGGCAAAAGGTTTTAGGAGAACAAACGCAAGGGTCGGGGTGAATGGTGTCGGGTGGTGGTGGTCGTCGAGGGGGAGGAGGGGAGGGTCTATAGTTTTTGGATTTGGAGTGGTTGAAGGTGTGTGGTGTGTGTTTGGGGGTTGGGGGGAGCTGAGGCGATCTCGCCTCCTAAACCAGGAAAAGTCTGCGAAAGCATCACTTTTAATTTATCAATGCAATGTGAAGAGTTCAATTTTATGGCAAGAAAGAAAAAAACAAACAAACATCGCGGCGGGGAGGGGCGAGGGAGAGGGGGGGGGAGTCCTTTTTATAATTGCAAAAGCCGTCACAGATTTTAAGTTGCTTCACCTTCACAACGGCTCTGGTAGCCCGCGTCATTTGCTTGCGCAGATTTCTTCCAAGCGCCGACGGTGCACAGACCACGTGGCATCTCCTCGGTCCAGCGTCGTCTCGGAGGCTTTCGTTTCTTCGCGCGCCCTCCACCAACACGCCCCGCACCTTAAGACTACCGCGCCGACCAAAAAAAAAACCACGAAAAAAAACTTTTTGCCTGGCACCGACAGGTCCAGTACAAAACCTAATGTGCTACCTTTAATGTGTACAGCTCCGGTAGAATTTTTTGTGGGTTCACTGTAATATAGTCCGGTTTGTAATTTATGCTGATGTTTAAAAAAATAATAATGTATATTTATGCATTGCTTTGGAAGACGGGAGGAGAGAGACCCTGACCGGCCAGTCCCGTAGATTGAACTGGACCGGTGCGCCGTCGACGATGCTCTTCCTGCCAGAGAGGGCCTTGACACGAGGCCTGACTGTTATTGACAAAACAACAAAAAACTCCCCACAGTTTTAGGAACGCGGTCAAGAAAAACAAAAAAAATAGACCGGGCTTCTGTAAACCCAAGTATCCAGACCGTGTTTGTAGTTGTACTTGGAGTGGTGGCAAACATGTTTATTCCTTTGGTACTGACTGGAAGAGCAGAGGGGGCCGCTCTAAAAGGAATGTGTGCTGAATAATGTTGGGATTAGTAGTGGAGATTCGTACCTGGCACGGAGGTTTTGCTCGTACGTGTGTGCGTATGCGTATGTTTGTGTGTGTAAGTGGTGGAAGGATGCCCTGGTTGTCCCCCCTTCCCCTACCTTTGCAAGAAGGGGGGCCCCCTCGTTGATTTGTTATAATTTGTTAAAATTATCCTGGCAAGGATTATTGAACGTCGCCTTGGCCAGGCACACGGAGGAAAAGCTTGCAGAGCCCCTGTGTGGTTTTAGAATGTGGCAGTCCTGCACAGACGCCATTTATCTGTTCGCCTGCTACAGCGGAGATATTGGGAATTTGAGAACGACCTAAATCTGTGTTTTATTGACCTGGGAAGTTGGAGGCAGTCACCCACCAACAGTGGCGACCCTGGGTCTGTCCCGTGACCAGCCAGCGAGCCTTCTGACACTTCGCGTGGCTTACTAAGTGCGCATAGCCTGGCACAAGTGCTGTGGTGACGCCACGGTCACTCCGTGGTGAATGACATCTGTTGTTATTAAGTGGTGAAAGGCAAATTGGAAAACGTCACTTGGGTGCAGTACACGTGCATCACGCTTACCCGTGTCTGCAGCTAATGCGATTTTAATTTATTATCCCAACTTGAGACGAATCCTGCATTGAGAACTATCACTGTCCATCCGTGCATATCAACTCCAGGCAGAAGACTTCTTCAAATGACACGTAGCAGTACCGGTTTAGGTTGAGCCTATTGTATCGTGCGCGTAGACATGCGGTGTATGTATGTGTGTGTGCCACTGCACTGCTGAAGGTGTCTAACTGCTGTGATTATCACTTGGAGCTAGAGAGAGACGTTTGCAGCGTAACATTTCAAGGTCACAAATTTCCACTTGCGTCCTGAAACGGTGACATGAGCACGCTTGCACAAACGTGTCCATCCCACATTAAAGCTCGAGAGAGAGAGAGAGACCAACCCCAACAACACCCATATAACCTGTAAGTTCTACAACAACAACAAACAAACACAAACCTCGGGTGGTAGTAATAACAACAACAACAAGCATATGTACCTGCAGTCAGTGCCTTCACCCGCTCAACGCGTTTGTGCTGAGCGCGGTGGGTTTTTTTCCTTCTTCACCACCACCGCGTGTCAATGATTAGGAGCGTCGTCGTCGTCAACGCGATCATGCTCCGGGACAAGGAAGGGGCGGGTGGGATCCTCTGCCAATCTTGATTTGAAGCTTTCGTGACTGCAGGAATCCATTCTCTTTGGTTCTTTCGGTAAAGTCACGTAGGTATATTGTTTTATTTTATACCTACGTGACTTTACCGAAAGTACCCAAAGAGTGTATGGATCCTCTGCCAGTTCTTACATGGGTCTCAGAGAATTCTGGTGGAGGGGGGGGTGGTAAGATCAGCAGCGGCAGCTTTGTGCTTCAGCGTTCCCAAGTTGGGCCACGTGGTAACAGCAAACCGAGATTCATCTCCCGTTTTAGCAGGGCCGTTTTAGAAATCCACAGTCGCGCTGACTTTATTTGTGGGTTTTTTGTTACATTTAGGGGCCATACATTTCGTACGTACGCATGGAGGGGGGAGGGGTTGACCCAAACGCGTACGCTTGCGTATGGGGGTGTCTGCTGATAATGTTAGTACGCATAGGAAACGGGGGGGGGGGGTGAAGCCTCGATAATAATTTGTCTACATTGGCCTTCAAATGAGCCACAGTTCAGCGTCTTCAGCTGTCAGACAACAAGTACTACCGGGAGAAGTGGGACTGTGGGAGAGGTGTCACTCGTGTGCCACCGTGCCCCTGACTGCAGCTATCACGCAGCTCGGCAAACATAAGTGGCCAAGGTACGCGACTTAATTCTTGAATGCAGCCGGCGGTGGACGATCTGTTTGCTTAAACACGTTTATAGTATGAATCCTTGATCGTTTCTGCGTGGATTAAATATTGGCCGTTCTATAGGATTCAGGGGGGGGGGGGGGGTCAGGCGTCCGTACGCAGATGGGAGGGGGAGAGGGATCAGGTTTTGACAGATTTTTGCGTACCTACTTAATGGATTGCCCCTTCAACAAAAACATACATATGAAGTGGGGAGACTAAAAAGAAAGCCCCCCTTTTGTTTTTTTTTATCAATTGATTACCTGAATATGTTTTTAGTTAAAAGTGCCACCGCGCTCTTGAGAACTTGAAAGTGTGAGAGTTTTTTTTGCGGTTGTTTTTGTTTGTTTTGTTTTCTAAGCGAGTTGGTGCTTTTTTGCGCGTCTTTCTACACATTGCTGTTCGTGTGAACTGAGCGGGCCCCCTCCCTCCGTGGTGTGATGGGTGTCTGTCGCGAGCATCTCCCCTTAGGGGCCATCCAATTAGTCCGTACGCATGGAGGGGGGGTTAACCCAAACACATAGCTTACGTACGGGGGGTCTAATGACAATGTGCGCATAGGAAACGGGGGTGGGGGTGAGCCTCGATAATAATTTGTCTACATTGGTTTTCAAATTGGTTCGTCCGGCGGTGGACTGTTTGCTTAAACGCGTTAATATTATTGATCCTTGGTCGTTTCTTCGTGGATTAAATATCGGCCGTTCTATAGGATTCGGGGGGGGGGGGGTCACGTATTGACAGATGTATGCGTATCTACTACATGGATGGCCCCTTCAGCAACATCTTCTCAGGCGGGCAGCCTCTCTGTGCATTGTGGTGGCAAGAAAGCTCCTGCACATCATCATCACCCCCCACACACATCAGATATAATCGTAATCACTAATAATAATGATAGCTTTGAACACGTGGGGAGTGTAGGTACGCCCCCCACCTTACCCTGCACATTGACACATCCTCCAATTAATCTCGTTATTGTATAGATTCCCAATGTTTTCTCGCTTTATTTCCCACCATCACCCACCACCCGCCTCCACTTTGCCCATCACAATTGTTTGTGGGTTTTGTTGTTGTTGTTGTCGTTCATTAGTTAGACGTAGGTCGTGTTGATGTCGTTAGGCTTGCTTCGTCGATGTTGGCCCGAGCGTGCACGTGACGGAGAGTTGAATCGAGGGGTGGGGGCGGAGCCTGGTGCGGGGTGGGCGGAGCCTGGTGCGGGATGGGCGGGGCCTAGTTTGGGGTGGGCGTGGCCTAGCTTTGGGTGGGCGTGGTCTAGCTTGGGGTGGGCGTGGTCTAGCTTGGGGTGGGCGGGGCCTAGCTTGGGGTGGACGGAGCCTGGTGAGGGGTGGGCGGAGCCTACTGCGTGGTGGGCGGAGCCTGGTGCTGGGTGGGCGTGGCCTAGCTTGGGGTGGGCGGGGTCTAGCTTGGGGTGGGCGGGGTCTAGCTTGGGGTGGGCGGGGTCTAGCTTGGGGTGGGCGGGGCCTAGCTTGGGGTGGGCAGGGCCTAGCTTGGGGTGGGCAGGGCCTAGCTTGGGGTGGGCAGGGCCTAGCTTGGGGTGGGCGTGGCCTAGCGTGGGGTGGGCGTGTCCTAGCTTGGGGTGGGCGTGGCCTAGCTTGGGGTGGGCGGGGTCTTGTTCATGCACCCCCCCCCCTTCACCTGAACCAGCATGGCAAGGCTTACGATACTTTACTTGAAAGTTGCCCATCATTTTATTTATTCATCATCATCATTATTATAATTACTACTATTATTATCATCCTGTTTTGTTTATACATTTGTTTTGTTTGGGAGCTGAAGCAATAAGGACACACAACAAATACATGTTCACTGGGTGGACGGGGTGGGTGGTGGTGTGTAAACAATTGTGTATTCTTACGGGTTTTACTTCATGTTCTGGTGGGCCGCAGTGTCGAGGAAGGGGGGCAGACTTAGCGCCCTCTCCTGCCGCCTTTGAGCGCCTCCTTTCGGCAAGGACCTTCAGGGCTGCCCGTTCTTCTCCTCCACCCATCGTCCTCCTGCACCTCCCCTCTTCCTCCTGCACCTCCCCTCTTCCTCCTGCACCTCCCCTCTTCCTCCTGCACCTCCCCTCTTCCTCCTGCACCTCCCCTCTTCCTCCTGTACCTCCCCCAGGCATCAATCGCTGGCGATGTCGTTTTGCGCGGTGCGTCTCGCTGCTCTTGCCAAGTCCTTGTCGCCAGTCCATCACTTACGGGGGAGCACGGCGTGGCTTTCGTGTTTTAAGTTTGACGCGTTGTTACTGTGCGTAAGACGGTTTGCTACCTCCGTGCAAGAGAAGTCAGGTTGTTGTTGTTGTTGTTTTTTTTGGGGGGGTTTTTTGTTTGTTTCCGTTGTGGTTTAATTTGTTTTGATTTCTCGTTGAAGGTTACTGGAAATGAACGCAGACGTGGAGCGATTTTTACGGATTTGGGTTTTTTGAGAGGCTGTTGTTGTTGTGGTTCTTGCATTGGCCGTGCAAGCCCCTAGACCCATTCTGTCACACACTCTCTCTATCCCCTGCCCAGAGTTGGGCTTGAAATAGGTTGGGATTCTACTTCTTTGGTTTTTTCGGTAAAGTCACGTAGGTAAAAAATAAAAGAAAGAAAAAAAAATAAGAGATAAAAATATAAGTAAAATATAAATAAATAAAAGTGAATTTAATCATGACAGTTTCAATTGCAACACATTTAATCACGACGTTTCAATTGCAACACAAGCAAACGAACAGTGATGTAATTTGCATTTATTTATTTATTTATCCGCCTCTTTTTATTTAATTTTCTTTTTTACCTACTTGACTTTACCGAAAGAACCAAAGAGTATGGATCCTTGCAGTCACGAAAACTTCTAATCTAGAGTTATTCTTCCTCTCGTGCCTCCTCTTCCAATTTGTAACTTCATTTCAGTCGAGTTGCCGCAGAAGGGTTGGGAGGGGTGGGGAACATTTCTTCGCTGCTGGTTGTCGCCAGGCGGTGTGCAAGATGAGTGTCGTGCTCAAGAGTCGAGAGATGTTTAGCCTTGGCCAATAAAGTTACGTACTACTGTGGGTAGGTTTTGTCTTATGTTTGTCATGAGTTTGCTCTGGGTTTAAAACATCGATTATCGGAACGTTACCGTAATTGCAGAAAAGAACCCATCGTGTTTTTTTTGTGAAGTTATTTTTAAAAAACAAAGTAAATTCGTACGTTTTTCAAAAGCAGATCTTTGTAGAAGCCCTGCCGAGAGGCTCTGCGTCGACGGAGTTGCCTCCAACGCCTTGAGCATCACAAGTGTTGATGTCTCTTTTTAAATTTAGATTTGAAGCTTTCGTGACTGCAGGGATTCATCTTCTTGGTTCTTTCGGTAAAGTCACGTAGAAGGGAAATAATAATAAAATAATAAAAATAAAACATAATAAAATACAATTCTCACGACGTTTCGGCCACAACGCAAGCAGCCGTCCTCAGGTGGCGAACAGGTCTGTCGGAAAGACAGCGTCTGAATGAGACATTCATTCATTGAATGAGACATTCATTCATTCAGACGCTGTCTTTTTGACAGACCTGTTCGTCACCTGAGGACGGCTGCTTGCGTTGTGGCGAAACGTCGTGAGAATTGTATTTTATTATGTTTTATTATTTAATTATTTCCCTTCTACGTGACTTTACCGAAAGAACCAAGAAGATGTCTCTTTTTGTTTAAACTCCGTGGCCGGAGCGAGGTGGGCTCTGACGGAGCTCCCGGTCACACGTCTCGTGTGAACTCTCTCGCCGCGAGTTTTCATCTCCGACAGCCCCGTGTTGATGAAGGCCCACGTGCTTCAATGTGCATTCTCCGGCGAATTTCTCGTTGGCTCACGTCACGGCCTAGATTTGCCAGATTCATTAATTGTCATCGACACCTTACTGAATTGGTGGGGGGGGAGGGACATCCAGTTTAACACGTAGGCTTTCGCGACCAATATCATCCAAAAGAGGTTTTTTTTTGGGTTACATCGCGTAATTTACACGATCTAACCCCAAAAAACTGACATGGGGGAAACATACACTTTGCAACATCGCCCTCTACTGTCGACAGATGAATGCTTGCTTTTTTGTTGCCAGCCGGTGCTGTGCACCAGAGGTCGCAACCGGGTACCCGATACCCGTACCCTACCAGATACCCGGCTCCCCGTACCCGGCCAGGTACGGGTACGGGTACCCATTTCCGACCCTGGTGCGGCCGGGTACGGGTAAGGAATCAAAACCCGTTTGCGACCTCTGCTGTGCACACATTGTGCCGCACGGGGACAGCTGCCATTGGGAGGATCCCACTGTGTTCCGACTGCAGTGGGGGCATTGGAACGGTTGATACGAGAGACGCGTGATGTCAGGGGGTGTGAGTTGCCTATTCATTTCAGCACCCGATAAATGGGTTTCCTTTCCTTATCAGTGGTCAGTCCCAGGCAAATCCCATCAGCCAACTGCTGCTGCAGCTCAGGTGGCTGAGGTGTGGTGGCATGCTCCCAATTGGCTTAGTTAAAAAAAAATCCAAAAAAGGTGATATCCATCCATTCTTGCTTGGTATTTGAGTTTTGCTTTGCACGGAATGTGCACGTTGTAAGTCAACCTTTCAATGATGTTTAAGCAGCCATTTATAATTACGTGTGTTTAACCCAGGATTTCCTCGCTGAGTCTCAAGACTTTTTTTTTCTCAGGAGGGTCCTGCCAAGTTTTTTTTTATTGTTGTTTCAGTCGAGGGTGATGTTGCTTGGTGTAAATCATTTTAATTATTTGCAGGTAGCCTTTCAGCAATGGGATGTTTGTTTGGCCAATACGAGTGATATTGTATTGGGGGGGGGGGGGGTTATTTGTGTGTTTGCGATGGGAGAAAGCCAGAGGTCCGGAATTAGAAACCCGTGCAACACAACGAAAGGCATTCAAATCGGGAATCGAACCCAAGGCCCTATCTTGGTTCTTTCTGTAAAGTCACGTAGAATGGAAATAATAAAATAATAAAGATAAAACATAATAAAATAATTCTCACATGCGATTCACAAACAGAACCAATATTTTATTGTGTTTTATTTTTTATTATTTTATTATTTCCATTCTACGTGACTTTACCGAAAGAACCAAGAAGATGAATCCCTGCAGTCACGAAAGCTTTAAATCGAAACCCAGGGCCCTAGTTTGCTGTGAGGAACCGGTGTTCCCAGCTTATCAACCCTACCCACTGCGCCAGCTGTACCATCAGGATTTGCTGACCCCCCACTCACACTTAATTGACCCGGTGCCCCGCGCCGGAGTATGCTCGTTTCATACTCTTAGTTTTTTCGGTAAAGCCACGTAGGTAAAAAATGAAATTAAAATTTATAAAAAATAAAATAATAAAAATCACGACGTTTCGGAGGCAACACAAGTCTCCGTCATCAGGTGATTTGCTGTATCAAATCTGGCTGTGACGGTCCCACCTGATGACGGAGACTTGTGTTGCCTCCGAAACGTCGTGATTTTTATTATTTTATTTTTATTAATTTTAATTTTATTTTTTTTACCTATGTGACTTTACCGAACAAACTAAGAGTATGAATCCTTGCAGTCACGAAAGCTTCAAATCTAGATGTTCGTTTCACTGCTCGGCATTGGTGTAGGGTTCGTGTCAACTTCCCCCCGCCACCACCACCACCACTGCCCCTTAGCTCCCTCGGGTGGCCCGGATTGCCGATTCATCCCATCTCAGGCCTGGTGTCACGTGACGTGCGAAGGCAATAAACTCGCGTTGAGAAGTCGAAGACGAAAGTCGTGCGATTCACAAACAGAAGCAATAGCAATAATTTCAAAGCGTCAACATTTTCACACATTACTGCCTTGAATGTCTCCACAGTTAAGGCTACTTGACGTTCGTACTGTTGCCATATATCTTTACAATCCCATTCGCGATTACAGAAGGGTTGACACATTCGCCAACAACGCTGTCCTAACAGGCAGGAGAACTATTTATTGGGCGACATTTCAGGCAATGGTCGCTCCTTCACAGCAGAGACACGTTCAGATTTGTTGACTTTTTGTGATCTGTGCACCACTGCCAATGCAGCAGTATCACATATACAAATGAATAAAGTCAATAACAGTAAATTTATTGAAATATAATATCACTGCTTCTTTGAATAATATGAATTGGCTACTACAACACAAGTTAATTTTCTGTAACCGACACAACCAATAGATAAAT